TATATTATAATTTAAATAATTGTTGATCACTAATGATTAATTAGCTGCTACTAAATATTTTTTATGTCAATATAAAAACTAAAAATTAATATAAATTATCTAAATACTAGCATGCTCGCGACACGTCGCTGTGGCTTTCTGTATTTTTTGCAATTTTTATTCTAAGTGGTACTGCAATGAACGATAAGAAAATTAATTAAGCATCATCTGAGTTAATTAATTTTGCATTAATTCGTGAGTTTTTTTTTCGAAAATTAAGACTTTATTGTAAAAAAATTAACATACATTTAATGTTCAAAGTGTAGCCCATCGGAAGCTACGATTTTTGCCCATCTTTCTGGCATTTTGTGGATCCCATCCCAAAAGAACTTCTCCGGCTTGGAGGTCAAGAAAGAATCGAGCCAATTTCTGATACCCTGTTCTGAAGTGAAGCGTACTCCGGTGAGGGCATTCTGCCCTCTGGTAATCGGAAGGTGCTATGTCAGGGCTATAAAACGGGTGAGGTAGAACATCCCACCCACGGTTTCCCAATAAATTTCCAACATGCCTTGCAACATGTGGCCGAACGTTGTCATGTTGAAAAATTGTTTTTCTGCAATGGCCTTTTTCAAACGAATCAATTGTTTTCGGTAGAGGTCCCCATTGATCGTGTGACCCGATATCAATAGTTCATAATAGAGCACACCCTTGTGGTCCCACCAAATACATAGCATGACCTTGGCACCATGGATATTCGGCTTTGACGTGGATTTCAATGGTTGGCCGGGCTTCACATACGATATCCTGCGCTTTGGGTTATCATAATGAATCCATTTTTCAGCGCCGGTGACAATCTGATGCAAAAATTACTTTTTTTTGGTGGCATTGAAGAAACATTTCCGACATGCAGAATCGATGTTCGACGTCTCTTGGCTTTAATTCATAAGGCACTCAATTAATTTCCAAGCTTCTGGATGAATACTCATGATATTAGTCATCTGGCTTGATCAACTCCTAATACTTTTGCAAGTTCTTCTTGCGTCTGGCATGCATCTGCGTCGAGCAATGTCTCCAATTCTTCGCCTTGAATTTTATTTTGGCTATCCGGGTCGTTCTCCGTCGTCTAAGTCGAAATCGCCAATTTTAAACCGTGCAAACCACTTTTGGCATGTTCGTTTGGCTAAAGCATGGCCACCGTAAACGCCCAGTAAAATACGATGGCACTTTTCTTCATGTTAAAGTAACGAAGAATAACTCCCCGCAAAAACACTTTATCGGGTACAAATTTTGACATTTGCAAATAAAGGAAACAAATTGTTGTTCACGATAAAGCAAATGACATCTGCTGAAAACGACGCGAAATCACAGTGCCTTTGAAATAAATATAGCCACAGATGAACACGACGCGAAATAATACTAGTAGAGCCCTCTCATATAAAACCGCAGGAATTACGAATCAGAATGGCTTGCAAACCAAACATACCTCGATCTATGTGTGCTTATATTCACATCATTCTAATTTTTGTGGCTCGGTCCTTACTCCGTTTCCCGTAAGGAAAATCAAAGTTGATTCGAAGTCTGTTATCAAAATTTTAACTAAATCGTACCATGAAAATATAGTGATTACAAAAACTTTACTCCACTTCACTTAAAAGAATTAACTTTAAATAAAGAGTTCAAAAAATACGCTTTTTTTCAATGGGTCGCTCTCTAGTCCACTAGCCCCGGTGGGAAGAGTAGTTTTCATTTCAGTCTTAGAAAAAAACCACCCATGTGCAAAATTTTTTTAATTTTAAACTTCATTATTTTGAATATTGGACTCCAAAGATATACAATCCATATATCAAAAAGGAACAGAAATCTACTCAAATTATAGAAAACCCCTTTTTGGTATTTCAAAATATTCTCCGCTAAGTTCGATATAATTAAGCATGCCTTTGAACCAATTTTCGAAGCCCTTTGCCTCTTTCATTGAGGTATCTCTAAAACATGAGTTCTGAGCGCATCGGCCTCAAGTCCGCAATTCCTCACCTGACACGATGTCATAGATGTGTTTGGAAGCAACGCTACCGTATTTTTTTTAACATTTCTCTTGTTCAATCAAAACAAGGTTTCAGACAAGGTGACTGTTTATCGTGCAATTTCTTCCATTTGGAAAAATGCTGAAAATAATAGCAGCTGCAGAGCTAACTAGACAAGGTCGATCTTCTACAAGAGTACATAACGGCTGGCGAATGCTAATGATTTTGATATCATAGATCTTAACAACCACGTCGCTTATTCCGCTTTCGACAGGCTTGAAAAAGAAGCGAATAGAATAGCCGCATTTACGGCTTGGCTCCCACTTCACGGTTGATACTCATAATTTCGAGGTCGTAGATCATTTCGCCCTACCCATAGTAGTCCGACGATTTTGCAAAAGGGTTTGCGTTGAGCTAAATTTCAGAGTTTCTGAAAAACAGCTGATTTTGAATATTCTTCACAAAATTCGTCTTGAAGTGAGCTGTGACTTTGTTTTAATTCGATAAACATAAGTCCTTAATAAACCATCAATGATTGCAGGTCATAATGTTACATGTTTACACTTTTGCTCATAGACTTAAATTTTCCAGTTTCCCAGGCATTCTACGATGAGAAGTAAATGACCCCCAATCGCTTTCGAAGCTTTTCCGCAAAAGATGCTACCTTGGGGAACACCAGTTTTATTGGAAACTAGTTCAAGTCCCGGAAAATTAATTTAAATAAAAAACTAAGTTAAATTTTCTAATTGCGGTCGCCCCTCAGCAGGTGTTGTCTAAAGCTCCGAGTGTATTTCGGACATAAAATAAAGGATCCTCGTAAATAAAAAGAACCATCAGCCTTTCGGGGGCGGCTTAGTCTAAACTGTAGGTCCCTCTAGCGGTGACAAAGCGCCAATTATCTAGCACAAGCGGTCGATAAAGTTGTGTATAAAGGTCTACTGTCAAAAATTTATAAAATGTTGTCTATCTTGTGCTAGATAAAAAAATATTCCACAGCAACACACCTTGAACTCGATTACCTTCCTTACTTCATTAGTTGCCTTGTTCTACAGTACACAAATTTTTACGATAACCGAATAGGTGTTCTGGTCTTTTTCTAACGATGGAGAAAATGGGATCTTTGATAAACGAATTCTTCCGAATAATTTTAAAGGACAGGGCAGTAGGCTTATTGGTCTGCAAGAAGACGCCTGTAAGTGGTCTTTACGTAACTTAGCTAATACTATACATTAATACCTGTGGATTTTTCCACGCAAATGGAGAGTTGGGAGAGCAGAGATAGATTAAATTTCGGAACCTAATTTTTGGTGTAGTAGGGAGTTTTCTTTGTGTCCAATTGTTAAATAGCACTTACAAGCTCCAGAGTTTATGTTTCAATCTTAAACTGAGTTTAAAGACCGTTCCCGATTAAATTCGGCAACACTAAACTATTAGCTGCATCGTTTGAAAGGTCTTGCCTAATTTTTTTGTAGTAAATAATTTGCCTCTTCTTCGTTATCATTTGTGCAGTTATCATTTGTATTGCTGTTTGGCATACACACATCAACTGGAGGCTTAAAATTCTTATGTGTCTTCTAGAGTGAAATTTTTTTAATAAAACTTGGCGTCAGTTTTTCTCGCTTTGCTGACTTTAACCGCAATTATGCGGAAGAATTGCGGTATGCTTGCCTTTCTCTCCGCAAATTACGTTTTTGTTTTACAGATTCTTCTATTTCATTGTTTATTTTATGGTTTTTGGTTCTTCATAATAATATTTTTAAATTATGTTAACAATATCGTTCAAGGCGAGTTCATAAAGGTGAGAGCAGGAAAACAAATACAACAATTACCGTGTATTTTGTTTATGTTTTCGGTATAACAATGGGCAAAATCATCATGGACTTGATACCATTTATAACCGACGTAAAGGAAGATTGTCAATTCGCCGTGTATATTTCATTTTTATTTGTGACAGAGTGCTCCGGTTTTAGTTTAAGGTTTAAAAAACCAGAGGGTTTAATTCATTTCTATTTCTAGGTATAATCCCGCATATTCCGATGCCATATAGTCTAAATTCGGCAATTCCATTTATATTGAAAAGAGTATAAATCGATGTTGGTCCCTCTTAGAAGCTTGGACAGAAATTCTAGTCAGAGGTGTAGAAAGAAGAATCTGGTATTTTCGGTTTTGTGATTTAAGGTCCTAAATAATTGAACTAAGAACATGAAATTTGGTTTTCTATATACGTTTTTATAATGAATGTCATATTGCTACCGAAAATCAACGAAATCAGGTATCATATAGCTTATAATTACTTTGGGTAAAAACATGAATATTTTCACAAATAAACGTAGACCCAGAAAATCATCGAACTCGGAAGGCTATATCATATAACCTAACGATTTTTCGAATATTAAATTATATAATATATAAAATTTGGCGCTTTGTAACATACATGCCTGATTATTTTTTTTATTGGGAGCCTTTATTTCAGGTCAGAAATACAGTCAAAGGGGTTGATATTCCCTGTCTAGGTGCGACCACAATTAAAAAATTTTGCGTAATATTTTATTTAAATTAATTTTCTATAACCTTTTGGATGCAATGCTAACCACCCGGCTACCGCGGCCGCCACTTAAATTGGTCTGTCCAAAGCTCGCACCCACTACCTACCGCATGGTAGTATGAACTGATATCCATTCGTCTGTTGTGCTAGTTCTCCGCATAAGCTCTGGGTGTAAAAATTTGTATTGGAAACACTTTTACTGCCCAGCATTAGTCGAGGTAAGCGTAAGCCGCAGCTTGTTGCCGAGTAGGCGTGGTCTTGTTTGCAATCACCAACTAATTAGACGGTTTGCGGTTTGAGGTGCATTTATGTGGTTATGCGGAGAATTGGTTAAAGAAAAGAAGTACGAAAAAAGAAATTGTTTGGCATTCAAATTTGGTATAAAAACTCCGCAAAAAATTAAATTTAGCACAGTTCACTTTGATCTATCACAGCTTGTAAATTTGTTTGGAGCAATGGCCTTTAAGGTACATAAGTGTAGTTGGTTTACTATATTCTAAAGTTTCGCTACTAAACTGCTTACACTTTTTTTTAATAGATTATCGCTGCGTTCACATGTTGCCTGGCACTGGCCATGGTTAGCGCCTCACCATATGGTCACCACGGACAACATGGCCATGGCCACGGCCACGGCCACGAAGAGCATGGACACGGTCACGGCGATCACAGTGCCTCCAGTCACGCCTCCGTACACTTAGTCTCACATGACGACCATCATGATCACCACGATCATCATGGGCACGGACATGGCCATGGGCATGATGATGGTCATGACTCGCATGCTGAATACAAGTTCAACTATGGCGTTAAGGACAAGAAAACAGGCGATGTGAAGGAACACAGCGAACATCGAGATGGTCATAAGGTATCCGGACATTACAAGTTGATTGATGCTGATGGTCATAAGCGTACTGTCCACTATACAGCTGACAAACATAGCGGTTTCCATGCTGTAGTGCATCGTGAACCAACACATCATCACGTAGCTGACCATGGTCACACTAGCTACCATGGTGGACACGCTGTGGTCGAATCTCACGAAGGTGGTCATGCTGAAGGACATGGTCATGGTCATGGGTATGAATATGGACATGGTCACGGACATGAGCATGGTCATGGACATGAGCAGGGTCATGGACATGAGCAGGGTCATGGACATGGCAGTCATTCTAGTGGTTTCTCAATCAAACAAGAACATGGTGTAGCCGTCCATCATCACGGCGGCCACGAAAGCGGGCATGGTCATGGTCATTAAGCGGCTCAATTGAAGTAAAATTGTACACCACTATTATGGACTGATATTTGTTATTTGTTTGGAAAAAATCCCTTGTTTTGAAACTTATATATACTCATTACTAATAAAGCAACTTGAAATTCTCAAAGAATTAAAAAAAAAATGAAATGTTTAAAGAAAGAAAATATCAACTTTCTTATTAAAAAATTTGATTTTGTGTTTATTTGCTCCCAAATTCTAAAACACCGAACTCGCTTATTTTATGTCTTACGAAACATACGTACATACGTTAACTGACCTGAATACAGACTTTGTAGACAGTCTTTAGGTGTATAAGCCGAGCAAACTTCAAATACCGTGGTAAGCTAGCAATATATAGTGTGGTGATTAACTTCATGTAGAATTTTTAGTTTTAATATGGCGAAAAAAAACTGAAAAAAGCTCACAAAATTATGTACATCACAATTATGTGACGACTAGTGTACTACAGTAAAACCGCTGCAGCGCTCTCTACCGCTAGACAGCAAAAGCATAGCATGCATAGAAAGTAGTGTGAAACCAGGAAATGCTAACAAAGTTGGAAAGCACAAACTCCATTTAAGCTTCCCACCAGCTTTTTTCAAGACTTTAACCACCAATTGATTAACAAATTCAACTCACCAACAAAAAAATGTTTGAAATTAAAAAAGCATTAAGCATTGGTTTAAAAAATTCACCACAGCATGTTAGTGACAAATGATATATGGTAGATAGCTTGATAAGAATACAAAAAATTACCCTTTAATGTGAATTTCGATCGATTAATCTTTAAACCTATAATTTGTTTTGGTTCAACCGCAATCAGAAAGAAGCTTTCGAGCAATACTAAACACGGTCAAGCTAGCAGAAGTTTGACAGTTGATACTTCAAGCCATATTTTTCGTGAAGACAGTTCTATAAATCTTCATTACTGTCAAAAAATATTTCGAATTGAGAAAGAATGAAATTTCCGAATGAATATTCTACATATGTATGTATGTAATGCTCTTTTACTATAAAAAATTTAAAAGTGCTGCAAAAGTGTGCTGAAAATTGGTGGGATTCACTATGAGAATGATATTATAGAACGCAAATTCAACGCCGGAAATTTTCATTTTGGCTAGACAAAAAAAAATCCGATTAAATTAGCCAAGCTGTTGAGCGAGGCCGCCAGGCTGTTTGTCGGAAGATAGCGGAGGCGTTGAGAATCACTAACGTAACAATTTGGACTCTGGACTGTCACTTGAATTAACGCAAAAAAAAAAAGAAAATTGGATTAACCAAATTAACAGTAGTGAAAGACTGCTGAAAGCCGTCAATATCGAAAGCTTTCTGAAGCAACGCATCGAGGGTGATGAAACATGGTTTAAATACGAGAAAATTTAAAACTAAAAAACGCATCTCCACGAATAACTTCAAAACCTGAAATGACCGCCAACAAGATAATATATGATATGAATATAGGTTTTGTCAATTATACGAGTGTAAACAATTAACAAACTTCAAAAAAATCCGTCTAGAAATTATAATCAATGGAAAAGGTGTTGCGCTTCAGACGGGACCACAAACCATATACTACCTACTGTTTGTTCTCTAGAAAACTTTTTTTTGATCGAAAAAAGTTAGCCGACCGAAAAGACGCAGACGCTGAAAATCATCTTTTCAAGTTCTTCGATAAACTCCAGAAGGTATACATGAAATTTCAATAAAATAAACATTTATTCAAATATATACAAAAAAAACATCGAGGAAATCTTTTCATTCGTCCAATATTATTTACAGTGATAAACTAAAGTATTGGCACAAGTTGAACTTTCACTTTAACACTTTGTTTTGAACACTTATGAAAATATTTCAAATTCTGAAAGTAGATGCTAGACGGAGGGACACATTTTCAACTATTTTCACTTTAATTCATTTTATTATCTTTTATGTTAAATTAATACTAAATATAAATGAAAAAAGTATTAAACTAACAGTATTGGTACACTTCATAAAAACACAAAAAACTAAGTAAATAAATTTTATGCATTTGTTGAAAAAAAATCAAGATCCAAAACCACAAATTGGAGCTCGACCGTAAAATCCCATCAGCGGTTACAAAGCTCCAATTATATATACTATGTTCCTTAAATATATTCTCCGAAAATTTAAAGAGAATTCTAGCTTTTAAGTTATTCGACATTCAACGAAGAGTTCTTTGGCGCTTCAGAGTTCTCAGGTAAATCTCAAATGCGGCTTTCTCGAAACTATATTTTTTAAAGTGATGAGTATTGTAACTCGGAAACCATTTAGTAAAATTCACTAACATACAAAGCTTAATCTCTTAAGGAGTTACATTTAGTTAGAAGCCCGGAAAATTTATGTTTTTTAAACATTTTTGGCGAGAGAACCTTTTGCTTGATTATTTTGAGCATTAATACACATTTTATGGCACCTTTCAGGAATATTTAGCATTTTTTATTTATAAAAATAAAAGTTTCTGAAAAAGACGTTTTGTGATGACCATTGTATTTGTGAAGTGAATCATCTGAAATGAAAAAATCACGCCAATTTCATTAAAGTAATGTATAATCTTGTTATTAGGCGAAGAAATAAGTCAAAAAAAAAATTGTTTGCCAAAATGATGGCAACTCAAAATAAATTAAATTTTTCTACATAATTTTGGTCTTGAATTGCGCTTTAAATAAACTCTTCATAGGTGATAAAAAATCATCGATTAAGTTTTAGATAATATTTTTCAGAAGCCCATGTATAAATTTGAGACTGAGTGGTTCAACCGTTCCCGAGAAATCTTGGTCACCGTCTTGAAAAACATAGTTTTGAGAAAAACGAGGCGCCACACTGGCTTAGCGCTTTCAAATGCACTGACGCGTCGTTAGAGATATGCATGTAGCTTTCAAAATAGCAGTTGGATCTACTTAAATATATGTGCATTACGAAAATTAAATTTAAATAAAATAAATATTTTGAAAATTCTAAGTAGATGCAACCCCTTAAGGATATAAAAACTAGTGCTTCATCGAAGGTTTTTTAATTAATTTCAATGCGTTATAAACAGTTTATTTCTTTTTTCTTCTGAAGAAGAGATTTCCGAAACTAACAGTCTCTAATTGTTTTTTTTTTATTTAAAAAAGTTGTCATCAGCTTGACAGCAATTACTTTTAAAATTGCAAAATTTTTGTTTAAAAATTTTGGTAGGAAACCCACAATAAAATGGTTAAAAATTTTGGCAAATAGTCTTAAAAAAAAATGGCCGCTGTCTTTCATTACAGAAAAATCAGAAAAATTTTTGTTTAAAAATATGAACAACAGCAATAAGAACACAGAAATTGTAGTAGTGAAAGCATATTACAAAAAACGTTACGCTTCCATACAACAACAAGCGTTTAACCCAATTATGTGTTAGGTAGTTTGTGGATAGACAAAACAAGCGATTATATGAATGTAAACTCAAATATATAATTACTTTGTATATGTACAAACATTCATATGTGTTACTCATATATGTAGGTATGTATTTCAACAGGTGTAGAGCACACAATCAAACAGTAAACACAGGAATATATACACATGTACCAAGGTGTCGGAATTATCAATCTACCAGAATTGGGCTTAATCTTGCTACTACACTTGATATTATATATAACTCTGCTTTATAAACGTATGCACATATAAATATCAATTAGTATTTATATAAAATCCTCAGTCGACTTATTGACGAAATTATTATATGGAAAGATGGAAAGAAATATTAAAATAAAAAAATAAAAAATTAAACAAAAATAAAAATAATAATTATTAAAATATAGGCTTTCAATGAGAAATATCATATCGGGTTGCCATCCATTGAAAAATATTTGAAATTTTTTAATTCAATTTTGTTTGAAGTATTTTCAGCTTGTAATATAAGATTTAATAATATAAAATGGTGAGCACAAGGTCGGTTTAAAACAAAAGATCACTATTTCCAAAAAAAATGGTCTGATACAGTTAAATAAAGCTTGCAAAAAAAAACAACCACAAACAATGACCTGAAAAGGCATCTAGGAATTACGGAAGAGCATTGCCGTATGAACGAAATTTTCCAATAATAACAAAGGCGTTGCTTCAAAAAATTTCTTTGAAAATTCTTCGCAAAAGCAACTAAATCGCGCCAAGTTTTACAGCAATCTGAGCACTTGATAGTGAGTATTTAGGTAAAAGGGAAAGAGTGAAACTATAAAATTATCTAAATAAAAAATTTAATATGGTTGTCAAATATCTCCCTTCCGCTTTTTTGCTCTTCATTCAATGCTTTATAAAAAGTGTTACAGTGATCGGATTTAGTTAAAATATGCGTCGTTTTGTTCAATGATCTGTTTCCATCTAGACGGCAACTTCATAATACCTTCCTCGAAGAAGCCCACCTCCTTATTTGCGAAGAATTCGGACAGCCACTTTTCACAAGCCTCTTTTGAGTTCAACTTCACACCACCAAGGGCATTCGCCATGGACAGGAACAGGTGATACGTCCGGGCTATAAGGTGGATGCGATAAAACCTCCCACCCGAGCTCCCGTAGCTTCTGACGAGTCATCAACGAAGTGAGTGGTCTGGCGTTGTCCTGTTGGAACACTACACCCTTCCTGTTGCCCAACTCTGGACGCTTCTGGTCGATCGCCTGCTTCAAGCGATCCAGTTGTTCGCATTTTTCGTTGCCAGTCACCATCCGCTTCAAGAATGGGTTGAGTTCGGTCCGTTTTAGCAGCATATCGCAGGCGTTGATTCGGTCCAGAAGGTTTTTTTGCGGCAAATTATGCGGCACCCAAACATAAAACTTTTTTTTGTATCCAGCCTTCTGCAGATGGTTCAAAATGGTTTGGTGACTAACTCCCATCTCCTGGGCGATGTCACGAGATGCCATATGCCGGTCTAACTCGATGTATTCCATGATTTGATCGGTATTTGTCGTTACAGGTCTTCCGCCGGCTGGCTTATCCATGGTGTCGTTTCCACCGGCTC